GCTTTGGGTTACTGTGAGGGAAAACATGGGCAGGAAGTAGGGGCTGGAGGTGGGTCATGGTTTTGGCTCTTTGTGGGTGTTGTGTTGGGATTGTGAGGTTTATTTGGGCAGGGAATGAAAGGAAGGAAGAGAGGGTTTTACTGGTTTATTAAAAGGCTTAAAAGAAGGAAAATAACAACAAACAAAAAGGTTTTGGTTTATACACTCTTATTTTCGGCCATGGCTAAAATAAGAGTAGGAAAAACTTTATTTTGAAAAGGAAATATTTTGGATGTTTAGGGAAGGTATGGGGAGTGTGGGCTCAGCCTAGGGTTGGTGTAGGACAACCATGGTGTTGGGTTGGGTTCTAAGACAGGAAAATGGAGAAAGTTTCAACCCAATTAATGTCATCACACTTGGGCTTTATTCCCCTGATCCGTCTTTCCCCTGGCGGGCTACGGACGGTCTTCGGGCCTGCTCCCGGATATATATCATCCTCCCCTTGTTCGAAAGAGTTTGCCCTCAAACTCAAGTGTTCTTTAGGCTCTTCATAGGGGCTGGAATGGAACTTGCTTACATCCTCATCTTCAATGAAGCTATGTCTTGGTGCTTGGGAAAAGGGAACCTGTGAATGCAGCTTGGAGCACTTAGGATAAGTGTTCTTTGTTCCTTGTATTCCTTCATGAATTCCCTGCAACTTAAACAAAGCAAAATAGGCACCACGGGCCGTTAGTGATAACAAGGCTCCACGGTTACTTCTGGCCGGATTGTTTTTGAGAGGAAAAGGGGCTAAGTGAGATTGAACCAAAGGATGGACGTTTGGTTGTGTATGATTGGATGGAATAAGTATCATTTCTCTGGCCCTTTGGTGTGGTGATGGTTCGCCTTTGATAATGATGGAGAGTAGGGCAGTGGCTGGGATACGGGTATGAGAATTCGGAGGAATTGGAGGAGTAAAGGTGACTTTTCTTCTATCCATAAAGAATGAATAAGTGTTAGTGAAACCATCATAGAGCGCTCTCCAATCTATCAACAATGGTCTGCCTAGAAGAATAGGGCACACATTCATGGGCCTAACTTTGAGCTTTTCTTCTTCTTCTTCTTCTTCTTCTTCTTCCAAGATCCTCAACGGTTCATTCATGAGATTTTTTTGTTCCACAGCTTCTGATTTCTTACCTTCATGAACCTGTGTTCGCTCCAATGCTCCTTGTTCCTCTACATTTTGAGTGAAGATCACCTTTCTTTTATTTGGACACATGATAGCATAATTTCCATCCTTTAGACAAGGGTAACAACAACAGCTCGTAGGCTTGATTGTAGGTAGCTCTTGGATAGTAGAAAGTGGAGTGGAGGATGCAGTTTTGGTAGGTTCTTGGAGAGGAACATGTTTAAGGGTTTCTTGGGTAATATGCTGATGGGTTGATGGGTGGTTTTTGGAG